TATTGTTAAATAGAGAAGAGATAATAAGAGTTCGTGAGGGTGTAGGGAAAAGGGAACCCTTGCACACTCATGGTGGAAATGTAAATTAGTGCATTCAGGTCGCGGAGTCTTTCGGATGCTGGCCTTCGGCGTCTCCCGACGGCCGGCGCCCTTCTCCCGTCACACAGGGTTTTTTGCGGTTGCAGGGGCAACTCCAGGGCATTCTCACTCGTTTGCGCAAGAAGAAGAAGGAAGCCCAGGCCGTCCTAACCCATGAGCGGGAGAGAGCCATTCTGTGCAAGGTCAGTGTCTGTCTTACTTTGGGACCTGCCCGTGATTCCGTGAGAAGAGCGCAGAGACGCTTAGAGGGAAACATCAGAAGCCAACAAACCTCTGCGGTCCGGTGCTCACCGACGGCTTTCCTGGCCTCCGGCTGCCTCCCCCGGCTTGTCCTGGAGATTCAGTTCAAGTTCTGCCATCTCGAGGCAGACTTATTCTTGCCGTTGTGTGTGCACCTGGACACCTCTGTGGCTCTGATTATAATTACTTTAAATATAAGTCATACTCGTGGAGATAAAACATAGGATGAAACTCTTTTCAAAAAAGGAATAATTCCAAGTCTCAGAAAAAATGCACATGAAAAAGATAAAGAGGAAGAGATACAAAGGCAAAATCTGTGGTTTGAATTATACCTGGACAAGTGTGGGAGGTTAGTCACAGATTTGAATTTGAGCTACATAAATGTTTAATATTTTATTAGATATTAAATGAACACACATTTAAATATAATTTTTCTTTATTTTTATCATAAAACAACTGCCATTGTTTTTTTGTTTTTGTTTCTTTCACTGGAATGGCAGCCTCCTGGGAGTAGAGATTTCGAATTTGTTTATTATTGTGTGTATAGCACACTCACCTCTGAAAACATCAACCTCTTCACTCAGCCCGTCAATAGAATATACAGGTTATGTGTCAGGTTTCAGGAATGGTTGCAGTGGAACCCCAGGACTTGTAAGAATTTAAGATCTACAGACATGGGTGATTCTCTTACTAACTTTATCGTGTGTGTGTGTGTGTGTGTGTGTGTGTGTGTGTGTGTGTGTGTACATGCGCGCAGGAAGAAACAAAGACGTATAAGCAGGTTGTTGTGTCAGAATATATGAAAATGCACCAGTTCCTGAAGGAAGAAGAACAACTGCAGCTCCAGCTCCTAGAAAAGGAAGAAAGAGAGAACATGAAGAAGCTGAGGAACAATGAGATCCAGCTGACCCAGCAGATCAGAAGCCTGAGCAAAATGATTGGGCAGATAGAATCCACGTGGCAGAACTCGGCTGTAGACTGCTTTGAGGTTAGAATAAAAGGCATGCGAGTATTGGGGATATGTATGGAGAAATTATGGTAACCCATAGTATTTCAAACCGCAGGAAATAATGTTTTCTTTATTTGTCTGAAAAATCTAAGTTCTGGTCTCAAAGGACTTTTCCTAAAGAGTTGACATTCTGTATGTCAAGAAAGCCTTAAAGCAGGAATGGTTGTCCTAACCAAGCCTGAGGATGACTTCAATTTCTTTTGTGCCTCCTCTCGGTAACTTCCGTTTTGTCAAATATATGTGGAAACTTATATTTTAGTCTATTGATATGCATTTATTATGTGCTGGGCACATTAAATTTAATCTTCACGAAGACCAGATGAAGATAAGTACTGTTATGATATGAACTCCAGATGATTGTTATCGGCAGAATGGGTTTAGGCAGCACCGATTTAATAATCCAGACCGCTGGTAATAAGGTGAGTCACCTGTCAGATAGCTCACAGGTGACAGAGCCCAGGAGCTGTGTGTAAGGAGCCCTCGTTCCTCACATCTCTGATCTCCTGCCTCTCTAAGCTATTGAATTCTCCAAGACCTTCTTAAACTTAAGCCATGTAGTCCAACTCTAGGTGTTTTCCTGGGGTGTTTCCACACACTTTACTATTTAATTTAGTGCCTTCCAACCACACCTTTCAAGCCCGACACAGGCATGGCTGGACTCGGCTCTGACCAGGCCACCTTCCTTGGCTTATCTCTGACACCCAAGTCACTGGACAACGATACTAATGGGTCAGCTCTTTTGTCAAGAACAGGTTCTCTTGAAAAGTTCTGCTCTGAGAAAAAGAAAGGGACACAGTATTCTCTAGTCATTTTGAAAAACAGCTCACGTTCACCCAAACCCAACCCCAGAAGAAATGGGCACGTTTTTCTCTACCATATGCGCTCTCACTGAGGCACACTTTGTGGGAAGTGGATGCTGTGACCTTTGCAAAGGACTGTAAGCAAAACGGATTTTGTCTTTGCTATGAGCAAAGCACACAAATGACCCTCTTTCTTTCTGCCCTTAGGAGGTGAGAGGAGCCCTGGAAAGGTGAGTTTCATGCTGTGGTGTTGGTGAGGTGGACTGTGAGGAGGCGGGAGGCCTGTGCTGTTGCTGGAGACAGACTCTCACGTCACAGCAGGACACGCAGCCTGTGCTGAGGAGTGGGCGAGGGTCTCTGCTCTTTTGCAGGAACGAGCCGCTGTTGCTGCACTGTCCAGAGGCCACCACCACGGAGCTGAGTCTGTGCCGCATCACTGGAATGAGGGAGATGCTGAGAAAATTCAGCAGTAAGTCAGCCTGCCATTCTGAAGTTGACTTCAGAATGTGTTCTTCGGATGCAAATCAGTCACCGCCTGATGCAAGGTCCTAGGTCAAGGTGTCCTGAGGCAGCAGGGGACGCCAGGGGAGGCTGAAGTCACAGACCCTCTCTGTGTGTGAGCAGGCTGCAGTCATGATCCTTGACGGAGGGTTTTTTCCTGGCCTTGTTTGCTGTGTAAGGAGTCCTGGTCTTTCCTCTGCCGGTTTTCATCCTTCTGTTTTGCCCAACCCCATCCCTCTCACGCACACACACACAACCCTCCAGCAGGAGCTTCTGCATTTCTAGCTCCATTACTGTTAGGCTCGAAGTTGACATGAGTTCCAAAATCCCAGTGGGGGAACATTCAAAGAACTGTCCTTTTAGAATGCTCCAGATAGATAGACTAGCTAACATCCAGAGAGGTCAGCGTATCTTGTCAACCTTTATCTTGTTGACCATCTGACCTTCAGAGGAAGGCCTAGTGAGCTTTGAACTCAACAGGTATTGGCTGAGTGCCTTTCGTGGGCCTGGTGCTATGCTATTAGGCTCCGAGCTTACTTACAATGATAGATAAGATAGATATGGCCTTTGCTTTTGTGGGATTTTCAGTGAAATTGAGAAGACACATGAATCACACATAATTAGTCATGCTTGGGATTTGGTCTACAAATAAAAGTAGGAAATTGTGTGATGGGACCGAATCCTGTGTGGACGGTCAGTGGAGGCCAGAGGGGGCGCAGAGACCTCCCTCTGACTCACAGTGCTTGCCATATGGTGGCAGGGTGTTGCACCGCACTCACAGGAAGCTGTGTTAGAGCATGACATCATGAAAACACTGACTAGGAATTGCTGTTCAGACACACTCAATCACTTTGTACTCTTGGTGAAGTTTCCTAGCCTTTAGAAACCTTGCTTCTGGCCAGGCTCAGTGGCTCAGCCTGTAATCCCGCGCTTTGGGAGGCCGAGGTGAGTGAATTGCCCGAGCCCGTGGGTTCGAGACCCGCCCGGGCAACTTGGCGAGACCTCATCTCTACAATAAATAAAAAAACTAGCCAGGTGTGGTAGCACGCCTGTTGTTCCAGCTCCTTGGAAGGCTGAGGCGGAGGGATCGCCGGAGCCCAGCAGGTCGAGGCTGTGGTGGCCGGGAGCGGCCACGGCCCTCCGGTCTGGGCGACAGAGTGAGACTCCGACTCAAAAAGAAAAAAAGAAACCTCGCTTCTATTTTTTATAAAAATGGGGAAAATGAATAACATTTGCAATGACTGAATGAGATAATGTGTAGAATATGCTTGGCCCACGAGGAGGAATTCAGCAAATGGTGACTGCTTATGTTTTCTCTCTACCTGAACTTAAGAACCAGAACCAGCCATGGTTCGTATGAACACAAGTGCCAGAGAGCATCTCTGGTGGAGAAAGAGCTCTGGGTTCTAAGACTGTCTTATGGACAGAACGACCTCCATTGCCCTATTGGAGAGTCTCTCCCTCTCAGGCAGGCTAAATCTCCATCTCTACATGACCCTTCTCTGCCTTTTTTTTTTTTTTGAGTTGGATTCTCACTCTGTCACCCAAGTTGCAGTGCAGCCGCATACTCATGGCCACCACAGCCTCGGCCTGCTGGGCTCAGGTGATCCCTCTGCCTCAGCCTTCAAGTAGCTGGAACCACAGGCACATGTCATCATGCTTGGCTAATTCTTCTGTTTTATTGTCGAGTCGAGGTCTCGCCAAGTTGCCCAGGCTGGTCTCGAACCCCTGGGCTCAGGCAATCCTCTTGCCTCTGCCTCCCAAAGTGCTAGGATATAGGTGTGAGCCACCACGCCCAGTCTTTCTCTGCCCTTTTAGAGGTTCACTCTTCTTGTGTTGTGGGATAGTGAAAGAAGAGTTAGAGATTTTGTTCTAAACAACCTCCTCCCGTCTGACTTCCTCCCATGCGACCTGAATCACATTGAAAAGATGGGATTAAATGCAAATAACTTAAGTGACATCTCACATATACAAGAAAGAGGGTTTTCAGGAATGCTTCTCTCCTCTTGCAGCGGAGGTCACGCTGGACCCGGCCACAGCCAATGCCTACCTGGTGTTGTCTGAGGATCTGAAGAGCGTGAAGTACGGAGGCCTCAGGCAGCCGTTGCCTGACAACCCGGAGCGATTCGACCAGTCTGCAACGGTCCTGGGTGCCCAGATCTTCACCTGTGGGAGGCACTACTGGGAGGTGGAGGTGGGGAACAAGACGGAGTGGGAAGTGGGCATCTGCAAGGACTCCGTGAGCCGGAAGGGGAACCTCCCCAAGCCGCCTGGGGACCTCTTCTCAGTCATCGGCTTAAAAATCGGAGACGATTACAGTCTTTGGGTCTCCTCCCCTCTGAAAGGCCAACATGTCCGAGAGCCTGTGCGGAAGGTGGGGGTCTTCTTAGACTACGACTCCGGGCACATAGCGTTCTACAACGTGACGGACGAGTCCCTCATCTACAGCTTCCCTCCCACCTCTTTCCAAGAGACCCTCCGGCCCATATTTTCCCCCTGCCTCCCAAACGAAGGGACAAACACAGACCCAATAACCATCTGCTCACCGAGCAGCCACGCCTGAGGGGCACGCCCCCAAGCCTTCACGGAAGGTGAGATCTGAGACCGACGAATAATGGCGAAGCAAGATGATCAACGCCTTGAGAGGATGAACACCGGCGATCTGAAAAAACGTCTCACCCACCCCCAGAGTTTCTCTTCACTTGAGCTCACCTCGAACAGCCCAACGAGACCATCGACTTCAACGCTAACAGAAGAGAGTTGATCACATCCTGCATCTTTCACTAGATCCTTTATCTAGACCATCCCATCTATGTGCTGGTCGCACAGCTAGAACTAGCCCCTATTATCCTGAACCTCACTACTGTAGCCAGTTATAATGAATAGACGTCATTTTCCCAAGTGTATTTATTTATTTGACTCTTGAAGACTGCACTGTGTGGAAGTGCCTCTACTTGCTGGACTCCGCGTGCTGGCAATCCGAGGCTACCGGGGAGCCGAGGAAGGGGTCCGTTGGTCCAGGGTGGGTGAGGGAGACTCAGAATTCAGCCTTCTCTGAAATGTCCTTTCCTTCCATCCCATGAAGCCTGGGGACTTTTGAACTCAGGCAGGCTGTGTGTCAGAACACTGCAAATATTTGTGTGAATATCATCATATCATTCACGTTCCCATAATCACAAGAGGCTAGAAACTCCTGGAAGATGTTAAAGGATGACAACAAAGTTTCTACAACAAATATATCGTGGTATTGCATGCCATACTTATCGGTTTTATCGAGGTTGATAGAGGTTATTTTTGGAGCTTTTGCTGTTTGCTACAGGAAGAAGACCAAAGACCCCACTCCCCTGTCTTAGAATGGCAAGGCTCAGGCAATCCACTCACCTCAGCCTCCCAAAGGCGCGGGGTGACAGGCTGAGCCACCAAGCCCGGCTCATCATTTGCATTTTCAATATGACATCACATACAATAAGAATCAGAGAACTGCAGAGGAGGACCCAATATATTCTCTCTTTGTTTCTCATTTATTATTTTATTAGGTAGATCTTATTTCTTCATTTCTCATCTCAGAAAGCTAAGAAACAAATCATAAAAAGCAAACACGAAACATTGGGAATATATCTTTTGCAATTACCAAAAAAACTCACATTTTCAGGGTAAGTGAATACAAAAGTAATACATTTTAATTTTGTGTGTATTGCATTTTATCGTACCATCATTCAGGTGATAGAACCCTCTTTTTTTATTTTTTTGTCCCAAAAGGTTGATATTGTCAGGGCAACCAGCCTGTTATTTTCTTTCTTTTTTTTTTTTTTTTGAGTTGCAGTGTCACTCTGTCGCCCAGACTGGAGTGCAGTGGCTGCTCCCGGCCACCGCAGCCTCGACATGCCGGGCTCCGGTGATCCTTCCGCCTCAGCCTTCCAAGTAGCCGGAATTACAGGCGTGTGCTACCACGCCCGGCTGAATTTTTGATTTATTGTAGAGATGAGGTTTCGCTGCCCAGGCGGGTCTCGAACCCGCGGGCTCAGGCAATCCACTCACCTCAGCCTCCCAAAGGCACGGGATTACAGGCTGAACCACCAAGCCCGACTGAGCCTGTTATTTTCTTTGGCAAAATCACTCCAAATGGGTCTTTGCCTGCACCACTGTCTACACAGGGTCTGCCACTGATAGGTATATAGTATTCTTAGTCTTTTTTTTTTTTGAGCCAGAGTCTCACTCTGTCATCCAGGCTGGAGTGCAGTGGTATGCTCACGGCCACTGCAGTCTCGACCTGTTGGACTCAGGCAATCCTTCTGTCTCAGCTTCCAAGTAGCTGGAACCACAGGCATGGGACACCACTCCTGACTGATATTTTTGATTCATTGTAGAGATGAGGTCTCGCCGTGTTGCTCAGTCTGGTTTCGAACCCCTGAGCTCAGGTAATGCTCTCGCCTCCATCTCCCAAAGTGCTGGGATTGCAGGCGTGAACCACTGTGCCCGGTGTGTGTTCTTAGTCTTTGGAGTTTGCCCAAACGACCATAAAGAAGTTGCAAGAAAATGCTCGCTCATGGTTTATAGATATCAACTCCCGTGAAACAGACACGGAGGTGAGAAAGGGAGTGATAATGGAGAACCAAAAGGCTTGTTCTCTGGCATGGCTGCTCACCCTGCCCTGCTCATGGACCTTGGTCTCACTGCCGTGGCCTTTGACAAGAACATGCCCTGAGTTTGAACGGTGTCTCCCCTGGGACTTCCCACCATTCCTCAAGCTGTTCCCTTATGTGACCTCTTAGTTTCTCTCCAAACCCCTATCTCCCACCCTTACTTGCATGTACACTTTCCCCAGGAGTAGCCTCTTGTTCAGTGGACATACCAAAATGGATTCGAGAATCATGCCATTTTCTTATCTACCTCTCCAAAATTAGCTAGAAGGGGCAAGGGGATGTCTAGTCCTGAGGTTAGAGGATATCAAGAGTGATCGTCCACATTGGATGGCGGTTTGAAGATATTACATTTCTCTTGCCTTGAAATCTGTTTATCAATACGACTTCATGAGTTTTCAGAGAGGATCTTTATCTACACTTCTGCTCTAATTATTCTCTCCCTCTGCCTTCAATGATGCGCTTGAACCTGCTATACTTAGAGAATTTTGGTACCTTATCTGCCTTCAGATTACAAGGCCCTCTTATAGTAAACTGATTTAAGAATGTGCCCAGTCCACCCTTTCATATTCTTTTTTTTTTGAGTGGGAGTCTCAATCTTGTCACCCAGGCTGGAGTGTTGTGGCATGCTCATGGCCACTGCATCCTTGACCTGCTGGGTTCAGGCAGTCCTTCTGCCTCAGCCTTCCAAGTAGCTGGAACTACAGGCATGTGCCACTACACCTGGCGAATTTTTTGATTTATTGTAGAGACGAAGTCTCACTGTGTTGCCCAGGCTGGTTCCGAACCAGTGGACACAGGCCATCCTCTTGTCTCTGCCTCCTAAAGTGCTGGGATTACAGGCGTGAGTCACTGTATTGCACCCGGCTCACATTTTTTTTTTTTTGAGTCTGGGTCACCCAGTCTGAAGTGTAGTGGCATGCTCATGGCTCACTACATCCTCAACCTCCTGGGCTCAGGCAACCCTTCCACCTCAGCCTCTCAAATAGGTGTGCACCACCACACCTGGTTAATTCTTTGTAGAGATGCGGTCTCATTATGTTGCCCAGGCTGGTCTCAGACTCCTGGGCTCAAGTGATACTCTTGCCTCGTCCTCCCAAAGTACTGGGACTTCAGGTATGAGCCATCAGACCCAGCACACCCTTCAATATTCTTGAATATTTCCCCGATCTGTATACTGGAGGGATGAGAACAGAATACCAGGAAAACAGGAAAATAGTAGGAAAATAGACAAATGGTGGAATATGCATAGATTCAAATAAAAATTGCATGCAATCCTGTGATATGGTGATAACCAGTGCTTATATTTTTGTATTTTTCTTTCTAGTCTTTTGTTTCTGATGTATGTATATTTTAAGCAAAATGAAAATATTGCCTTAATATTGCATACTTCCTTCGTATCATTAGATGCTTCTTGAAAATATTTTTCTATCCCTAAAGTATAAGAATGTGTCTCCTAAGAATTAGTACATCTTGTTAAATTTCATTAATCACATCCAAAAATTTAAATGTAATGAATGATACGATATTATCTAATTCACATCCAAAAATTTAAATGTAATGAATGATACGATATTATCTAATAAACTGTTCATATAATAATTTCTCTCTTGTCCTTGTAATAGTCTTTTTAGCTGATTTTCGGTCTTCCAGCATTTAGGAATAACATAGGAACACGGGTTGAATTTAATCATTTTAGAAAACGTGATTTGTAATGGGAGTAATATTTCATTATATGTCTGTCCCTAATTTATGTAATCATTCCTCTACTGTGGAAAACTTAGATTTTCTATTTGTAATGATTATAAATGATCCTGTGATGAACACAAGTGCCCCTAAACCTTTGGGTCTGTCTCTCATTATCCCCCAAGTGTGTTTCCCGTGGGCAGGAGTGCACCCTGTGAGCCTTGCAGCCTGTGCCTAGGGGTTGCACACCCGCCTGCAGGAGTTCTCCGTGTGCTGCAATTGGTTCTAGAGATTTCACTTGCACATTCACACCGCAAGGGCAGACACACTGGTTTCAGATAAGTGAAAGAAAACGCTTTCCCCTGCCCATGATCTTCCCAGAAACACTGCATTTATTCCAAAAAAAACTATACTGGGAGGAATTGGAGTGGCACTTCTTTTTTTCTTCTTCTTTCATTTGTTTCCTCTTTTTTTCTTTTTCTTTTCTTGTATTGATTTTTTGGTATTACTATTCTCGAAACAGAAGTGTGAACATAAAGTTTTGGTGAAGAAAAAGAGAACTTCTATGAATTATTTCCTTATTTTTTGTGAACATCCTTCTGGCCTCCAGGCTTGTGAGCATCCCTCCCATTAGTTACACAAAAATCAACTAATACATAGGAAATAAATGAAAAGAAGAACTATGTTTAAAGTGGAAATCTCATTTTCATTCCTTCTGTCTCGGCAACCTCGCAGCCCGGCCCTGGGCTTTTAGGACATGGTATGAATGTCGCTAGTTGTCAGCTCTGTGAGGCTTGAGGCACTGCACACCGAGGAACGGCTGGCAAAGCCCTCCGGGGACTGTGTCTGTAGATGGTGCGCACGTGGATGAAGGTGACCTGGGAGGGTGACCCCAGCAGCCCTCGGGTAGGACTTGAGAGGGTCACCACCAGCTGTGAACATGCCTGTCTATGAACATTCCTGTCCTTCTAATAAAAAAGCATGCCAGATGTGTGTGACAACATGAAAAGGGCTAGGAAACAACACTTCCTGTGACCATCCGTGTGTATGTGTATGCAGACAGAGGAGAGAAAAGAGAGAAGTGATGTTGCCAGGGATGTCCTGTTACCGCTTTCTTATGGATAGCTAGAAGAACGGAGCAAGGTTTTGTGAGGCTTGCTGGGCTCAGGCAATCTTTCTGCCTCAGACTTCCAAGTAACCAAAACCACAGGTACCCGCCACCATGCCCTGCTAATTT